ATTTATTGAGTTCTGCGTGGCATCAGTACTGAAGGTTTTGTATGCACAACCAAACACACACCTCTTTGGCATTTAAGTCCATGAGGTTGATACACAGTTCATTTGAGAGAAGATTTTGATATGTCTTTAATTGTCTGTCTGAACTTGATTAGTCAACCCAAGAAAGCAAATGTAATGTATGTTGCATGGACCTGGGAAAATGAAGGAAAATAGGGGAATTAGAATATGTTTTCTTGTCTGCCATGTGGATAAACATCTCCCTCTTTTCTGTGTTGACTTCTGCTGTCTTAAGTTTATTAGCTTGCTCTGTTTGGTGTTCAAAAACAGTGACTTAAATCACAAGTATTATCTTACAGATCTTTTACAGCAAACCAATTTATAAACAAACACAACCCAAAGAAACAGGGAGGAAAAAACCAAACCTCCAAGAAGCAGGGAGATTCTTACCATCTCTCAGAAAGATAAAAAATAAAATTGAAATTACATTGTTCCATAGACTGCCTGCCCACACACAGTGGTATTTTTGTTAAGATTTTTTGGAATTCTCTTACCTCTTTCACTGTGACTGAAACAGACTTTGGGCTGGTAGTGACGTTTTTCTCTTATATCATTTCTAAATAAATTACCCCAATACCGAGAAGTTCTGGGCTTCAAACAGGTTCTGATTAAATCTGATCATTTTTGACTGCTTAAAATAAGGGTGTTTTTTCCGGCTTTTTGTTTGTTTTCAGTTCAGCCAGGTTCATTTAAGTAAAGCAAGTACTTCCTTTCTGAAGTTTTAGTCTTACATACTTTTTACACACTGAACTCATGTATTTATTCTATATAGGAATGATGTTTTTGGAAAAAAAAAACCAACAAACTGTTTTAGAAACTCTGCCTAATTTGAAAAAAGACAACTGTCAGAATAAAACCTGAATGTTATATGCAGCTCCTGTTTACAAAAGTAGCAAACTAGCAAAATACAAGGAAACTGGGGGAAAAGAACAGAAAGGGATGCAGATTGCTGAGATGTAAATAAAGAGTCACCCTGCCGCTACTCTTCTGAAAATCTAGCCTCAATTCAGTTTGCCACTCGCTGTTAGAAAGGTGACAGATTGAAAGATATTTGGTGCATAACAATCGTTATGAAGACAATTTCTGGTTTAAAGAATCTTTGATAGCAACTTGGTAGGAATTAGTGCAGATGTAGAAACTGCAAGCACTTGCACACCTGAAAGCTTGTCTTGCTTTTCTTTATGTTGTTTACTATACAGCTGTACCTAGTGAAATGTATTATTTCCACTTACAAACCTTGTCCTGCCAAATAACTGAAAAATGTACAGGAAAGAAAGAAAGGGGTGAAATTAAGGGGAAAAATAGATTGAATTTGTAGAGCAAAATATTTGGTTGTTGATTTACTTGCAGTAGATAGAAAGCTTTTTGATGGTGCAGTTAGAGTTGAAAGAATATTACTAGGTCACCTAAAGAAGGAATCAGTCATGAGCTATGGGAAGATAGATTAGTCAGATTGGTTGATTTCTCCCTTTTGCAGGCTCTGCGATTCTATTAAAGAAATTACTTTCATGACTTAAGTTGGCAAGGAAAAGTCAGTATGCGTTTCGCTTGTTCCCCAGTGCGGGCTCAAACTCTTCCCTTTAGAAAGTGTGCTGTTTAATGGGTAATTTTTAAAGGGAGAGAAGGAGGGACCTAGGATCAGGAATCTCTGAATATGTGGTGGTTTTGAGATGTTCTGGAATACTTCAGCTGTCTCCTGCAGCTACCTGTAATTTCTTGGCTATATCCCAGGGCTGTGGTAGAACTCATTACTGCAAATCACAGGACCAAATGACGGGAAGCGACCTGTGAGTCCTGTAGTTCAGCTCCTCTGCCCTGGGGAAGGATCAGTAATACCTTACTGTTCCTGGTAGAGGTTCGGGATCCACCTCCGTGGTGCCAGGATCTCCTCAGGCAATCTGTTCCCATGCTTTGTTTGCCTTTCCACTAAGTAGTTTCTCCTACTAGCTCATTTGAATCGCCTCTGGTTAAATTGATATCCACTGTAACTTGTGTGTTGGCTATAGACATAGAGAACAATTTGCTGCAAAGAGAAAACTTTTGTATTTTTTTATGTAAACGGTTTGGAAGACTTCTTATTGCCCCCTATGTTTTCCATTCCTTAAGCTAAGCAGCTTCAGTTTATTCAGTCTTTCACAGTAGGTTTCACTGCATAGATTGTGCCATTAATCACATGTCATCTTCTCTAAAGATTTGTCTGTAAGCCCCCATCTTTCTCAAAGTAAGAAAGCAGAGACCTTAATTAAAAATAAAAGTGCATAACCTGATTTGCTAATGAAAATTCCTGTCTCAGAATTTTGTCTTCTTATAACTAAGTAGTACTGATTAATTTGTACATCAGTATAAGACAGTATATTGTTACTTCTTAGTTAGTTTTATTATTATGTTCTCACTTAATTAGCTAGATTAAACCTTCTTGTGCTATGTCTAGAACTTTTACCGTGAAGATTAAGGGGTGTGAAGTTACTTTACATTGCCTTCAGTCATCTAAAGTATAATTTTATCTGAAACGATTCTTGCTGCAATGAAGTTTGGCAGCCAGAAAATTCTCTCTGCAGCAGGTCACCACTTGTCACTATTGTATCAGTTTCTATTTCTGCATAATGAAATGTTTCTTATGTTAGTGGTGAGTTGCTTGCAGACGAATAGATCTTAGTTGTTGCCTGCATGAGTGTCTTTAGCTTTTAAAAAAATGGTGTACTGAACCATCATAGAAATTATTAAGAAATAGTCCAGACAAATGAAACCTGACTTGTCTGGTAACAAAGGACTATTAGTTTTATAATAAGTAAATTTTACTGCAAACCAGAGTCAGACCAGAAAAGTGTCTCTCTGTGTAGCCGTTACCATTTTATATCTGTGGTAGAGCTAGGTTAATGTGTAGTGTAAGTATGAACAGTGAATATTCACTGGAAAAAACACGGACTGAAGAATAGCTTGTTTAGTTGGTCAAGTTGTGAGCCAGTGGTGTTCTGTTACTGGATATGAAAGCAAATGTAACAGCCAGAAACCAAAACCCTGTTGCATGTTATTCATAATTTTGACATAATGCAGTATTAGGTTGTACAGGCTATTGGATTTAAAAGGCTGATGCCAAATGGGGTACCCACAGAAAATATACATATTAAATACAGAGACATCTGCTCTTGTTTTCAAATAACATTGGAGAAATGGGTAACATATCACACTAATGCAGATGCTTTTTATTATTCACAAGTTATAATTAAATGCAGTTTTTTCTGTGGTTGGTGATGAAAGTGTGAGAGCAACCTCAGAGGGCGGAAACGTTTCAGATTATGTAGACCGCAACTGGCTGTTAGACAGCAGCACCACAAACCCTGTGCTGGCTTGGCTTTGCATATTGTAGTGGTATATTCAACCCATGTTTGCAAACCACATTCCACCAAAGCCTGCCATGTTGATAGCTAGCTGATCAGTAATGTATGCTTGCTGGCATGAGTGGTTTGCAGTTCAGTTAGTGACTGCGCATGTTATCTGTGACTCGAGGCAAAGTATGTAGATGTTAATCTTTTGCTATTATACAATAATGTTTGAGGCAAAATTATTAATGGAAGTTACATGCTTAGGAGGTCATCCTTTGAAGGAGGGTGAAGTGACATACAGACTGACAAGCTGTCTTTCCAAAGCTCATTTTGAGGTAGCTACACACTTGAATAGGGCTGGAGAGGTATGGCATTTGTTTGTGGACAGTGCTGCCTTTGTGTCCTAATTGAATCGATATACCTGTGTGCTTGTTGATACAACGGTTATTCAGAATAGAAAGAAACTATTAAAAGATGCTAATTTAAAAGAATATTCTGCATATTAATAGTTGTGAGAACCAGACATTGGAAGCCTGCTTTGAAAACTTGTGATTCAGCCAGTTGGACAAGGGAAGTAAGAGAAAAACTATGTTTAGTGAAAATGGATGTAGTTTCTGTACAACAAAGTTGAGCGCACTGCCCAGCATGAAACACTGAGAACTCCTGACTGTATCTAGCTCCAGGAATGAGTAAATCTTGGGGCACAAGGGAGATGGGGATGGGTGGTGGTAACTTCTAGGCTATCCTGATACCATGCCAACAACAAGGTCAGGATATTTAAATATTTGGCCACAGCTTGAGGGGTTAACTTTCCTTACAGTAACAGTCCCTGCCCTTCCTAATACTTCCTAGCTTCCTCCAAGAGAAATCCCCCTCTCTTTGGGGTTCTTTGTTTTACTTTCCCTGTGCTGCTGAATGGTGAGTGTGGGCCAAGTGGCACTGAACACCCGAGACCAACAATTTGTGTCCTGTCTTTTATTGAATTTGATGGGGATTTCTGTGAATGTAGGATGAGGTGGGCCATCTTGAATAGCTCTTTTCCGTGAAACATTAATATGGGGGTGGGGGAAAAGTGGTAATATAAGAGTTAACTATTGCAGTATTTTTGGCTGGTTGGAAATCAGCCTGTCCTCTTACGTTACTGGTTTCCTAAAAAGTTCCGCATTAGATGGGAGTTCCTGAAATATTATTGCAACTGCTACCACTCTCCATTGTTGAGGCATCAGAGTGGAAGAGAGCAGTCAGTGTCTGTTGACCCAAGTTCGTCACCAAAAATGACCTTATTTCCTGCCTTTGCTAATATTATAAAAGTTTTCAAATGCCAATTTCCAGGCTTTGCATTACACAATGTTTTCCATTGCTGAGAACTAAAGAAAATCTATTCTTATCCAGGTAGTCAAAAAATTACTTTTGGTCTGAATGGTTGATGGCTGTAGGAGACCTTCTCCTATATTGGCAGAAAAGGAGGCCATTTGACAGGGAACGAACAAGATGAGTTACTTCCATATGCCATTCAATTTCACTTGTGACTGTAGCATGAATAACTTAAAAAGGATATTAGTGCTCGCCTTGTATTACAGTGTGAATTATTGCTCCTAAGCCACTCTATTGTTTCTACAGGTTCCCCAGAGGATAGAAGAGCAAAGAGATGCATCTGAGGATAGCAGTACAGGAATCCCAGGCATGTGGGGAAGTTGGGGCCCCTGGTCTGCCTGCTCTCGGAGCTGCAGTGGCGGTGTGATGGAGCAAACGCGGCCCTGCCTCCCAGCCTATTACCGTGAAAGGGGCTACCGAAGGCCAGGGCGGCAGTACCCGGCCTCAGAGAGAACTCTTGCTCATCAGAATTCCCGCCACCGTGAGGACTCGCTGACTGCTTATCCTGGCCATGTCATTTCTGCCATCCGTACATCTGTGCCACTTCACAGGAATGAAGAGCAGGTTTGGGCAGGCCTTTGGGCCTCTGCTTCTTCCGGAGGCCATAATAACAGCCATCTGAGCAGAGGAGCACTGAGAGGCAGCAGGCATTCTCAGTCCCAGAGGCAGACCGCCAAGCCAGAAAAGAGGTATGTGTCCACGCACACATTTTATTCTTACTATGAATGATGTATCTTAAGAACGACATGTCAGATTAGAGTTGATATTTTTTAATGCATATGGAAAAGTTATTAAAGACTGACTTTTACAATATTTACCATCTTCTGTGGAAGGCTATCCTCCTTGTTAACTACTTAAATGATAATACCCAAGGACAGATATAATTATTCTACAATTGTACTAGGCAGATTATCTTATTTCCCCTGAAGATTTGTTTTATGATTTATTGAGATATTTTTCCTTTCTGCTACATTCTCTTTTGACATTTCCATCTTCACCGTAATAATAAAAATCAGAACAAGTAACAGTTCTATAATTGGATCCTTAACTTCAACAGCCATTCTGATTTTGATGGGTTGAAAAAAAGATACGTCAAACTTTTTCATAAAGAATGGGCAACTGTCCATTCACTTTTTTCCTAGTCAAAACTCTAGGTTTGTTTTGTATTTTTCAGAGAGTTTCTATTTATGGGCTTTTTGTTTTCTCTTTTCCCTTTTTTTGTTTTCTACCACCTCTTTTAGCAAATTTCCTGCTTGATGACACTAAAAGATGCGGTTTACATAGATAAAATTTACAATACATAGAATATTTTAAACACCGTATCTGTTTATATCCATTTCATTATATCAATTTCATAATATTAGCTGTTCCATCTTTCAGGCTGGGTGGAACTGTGCTGTTACAATTAGTTCCAATTAATTCTCCAATTTCTGGAGAAACACTTTTTTCTCTTCTTAGATACCAATCTATCAGATTTTTTTATATGTGTATGAAAGGAAAATAGATGTGTTTCCAGTTTGGAACCTGAGGAGAATAGGCATGGAGATCCCCTAGGAGGGAGTGCTCCTGAAACGTCTGTATTCCATCTGTCTTTCCACAGAATATGTATTCCAGCAGTTCTCAGGTTCTTTCCCTCTCAGTACCTCTTCTGGGAGATGCATGGAGAGATTTTTTTGGGGGTAGTTAACAAAAAACCCAAAACAAAACAAACAAAAAAAGAGCCCAAACCCCACCAAAACCCCTCCTTCGTATCATCTGCTTCTTTAAGATTCTTAGGTGAAGCAGTCAACTGTAACTCCCTTTTTAAAGACATCTTGCTGACCCAAACAAAAAAAAGAATGTTACCTTGAGGCAATATTCCAGCCTGACTGGAATAAGACAGTAGGACTCTGTTGCTGGTGATAAAGACATCTCCAGCCCCTGCAAGAAACTCTCTCCATCTGAAAGAATATTTGAAAATAGAAATTAACCTGTTAGCCTCCTGTTTGTCTTAGTGAAGTGTAAGTTTCAAAAAGCAGGACCAGCTGTTCAGATGTTGATCTTCCTAGGTGTTGGCCATTTCCTTTAGTCACTGCTTTGTCTTTCTTTCAAACCCATGCAAATGGCTAGCCTAGATCTACTGAGTATAACTTCAATATGGCACTGATGATCTTATAAAAATAAAGAGAATGCCAGAGGCAGGCTTTTAGTAGCAGTGTTAATGTGTCTGCATTGAGACAAAAGTAATATTTTCTTTTTTTCTGTTTTCCTACTTAATCATTTACTGTAACGCACTTGTGTTCTCAGCTGCACAGTGTTAACAGATACAGGTTGTAGTACATAGCTGGGTTATTACTAATATTGGAAGCCTGGCCTTGAACCGTCAGCACAAAGTCATTCAAAGCCTGTTTGCTCCAGCCCGTGGCACTCTCGGTCTCCCAGGGAATCCCAGCTGGCCTGGCCTCTGCAGCAGACTTGCTGCCAGGATGCTGGCACAGCTGGGCTTCCATCCCCGCAGGCTATCCCTTGCGGCAGTGGTGGCCTCTGCAGGCCAGGAGAGACTGGAACAGTTTGAAACAATCACTGCAGCTATGGCTGGAACATGAGAGGACAGTGAGTGGAAAATAATATTAACTGTGTGCACAAGTGAAGCTATGTTATTTCCTAATAAATGCCTTGCCATACGAAATGTTCAAATGATCGTAATGTCCATTGTGCCTCCACTTTCCTGTATGATGTTGCATTTGAAAATTCTTGTGCTTTCCTAAGCACAGTGCAAGCTTCTGTACCACAGTTGATTTTCCACCCACACACACACTGCCCCTTGGCAAAAGACTCTGGATTCAAGGTCAATGTTTTAATCTTATTTGCGTAATAAGTTATTTCCATCTTGTGTTAGGAGGGTCCCTGGTGGCTTTAAGGTCTGTTGTATTGCATAACTTTCAGATTCTTTGGTGGTGACTGTAAAAACAGAATGAGAACAAAAAATGTTATTTGAGAATGAAATTATTAGAATGACAAACCTAATAGTTTTCCTTAATTTACAAAATCCAGAGTACAAACCTTCTTTTCAGAGGACATTACTGGTCCTATCAGATATATAGAAAATGGATTTCAAAATGTAAGTTACTCTAGCTGTGGTTTTTATACTGTAGAACAGTGTTCAGTGTTCACTAAATGGGTGATATTGGAAATTGATGTCAGGCTGTTAAAAAAACCCCATCATCATCTGTGTTTTCACAATGTGTACAGTCAGTGGAAACTTGTTGGGGCATTCCTATTTACTGTACTGGACTTCATATAAAAGCTGTCATTTTAGCAGACTTCCACAAAACAATAAAAGAAGAATGGACATTTGTGACTGAGATAAGCACACATTTGATAGCATGGTAAGATGCAATTGGATGGCTTCCAAGGCAAATAAGTTTTGACAGCAATAGCAGTCCTTCAAAGCAGCTAAATATGTTTTATCATTTAACAAGTGGAAAAATTCTCTGCCTGCTTCTAGGTAGCTGACAAAGCACAGTTTCTTTAGCAAAATTCAAAATATAATTAATATATCATAATTTTTGACATTCCTTGTCTGTGAAGGACATATTTTCAGCTTTTGAAAGTTGGTTCACATGTGACTCAAGCTTTAGAGACTAGGGCTGCACGTGAAGCTTGGATTGAGAGAGGTACCTTGATTGAGATTTGAGGTACCTGCAATTAGAAGGTAATTTAAAAAGTTTAAGTGTTCCCCTTTTTATCGTAGTGCTGTGAGTAGAGTTCTTGCATAATTGAAATGCATTAGGAAATTGTAGTCAGTCACTGGAATGAGGATGGAAACAGAAAAAGCAAGCTGATGGTTCTCTGGGTTGTCCACTGGCAAAGGAAGGGAGCTCTTCTCAGCTTCGAAGAGTTGAGTTCCTGTCAGCACAGCCTTGTTTTTTAATTTCACCTAGATAAAGTGTGTGGAGCGTGCCATACAATGAGAACAAACAGGAATGGGGAGATAGTGAAAAAATACCAAAGCATTTAGACATCTTTCTAGAGAGGCACATATGGAAAAGTAATAAGGGGCATGCAAAAGGATAACGTGCTTTAACAGAGAAAACACATCTTGAAAGGAAGTATCATTCATGGACTAGGCTTTGGTACTTCTCAAATGTTGCTTTTCTGAGTCTCTGTTTTGGTGACAGAGAAGACAAAACCGTGCTGAGTGTTAGGATGCTTACAACTGCCACCTTCACTTTTTCTACAAGTGGACTTTCATGGCGGAGCGGCAAAACTTCTGTGTCCACTTCTGTAAGCATGATGTGTACTTTGTGTGTGGTTCGTAGGAGCAGAAAGAAGAAATTACATTTGTCTCCAGAATAATGGAATAAGTAAAGCAGGCTTGCGTAAACAGTGCAAGTTTAAAGAAATATGCTAATTAGGAAAGGGCTTCCCTAAAGCTCTTTTTGTATTTGGAAGAGGAATGAGAGGAAATAATCCAAAAATCATCAACTTCTCTCACGGCTGTAGCTCTGTGGTCTTTATTCTGCTGCCAGCAGCTGACGTGCAAGTCTGCTGTGCTGCTTTGTACCCTGTATAGGGTCAGTTTGCATTTCTAGGTCTGTGAGCAATGGAAAAGAAGAGTGTATCATTTAATGTCAAAACAGAATTTCCTTTCTGAAAGTATTTCTTTTGCCCTCTCTCACAGATGCTTTGACCAGGCAATGTAGGTCACTTAGTTGGCAGGTCTACAATTAACCTTTAAAGGGACAATTAAGTTGTTGTTTCCTTAACCAATTTAAGCATCATTAGCTGTGTGTCCCGACGTAAGTTTTTTGACCTGTTCTAGTCAGTTCCAGTTCGCAGAGGAGGACAAATGTGTGATTGCTGGACCTTCAGGTTCAGGAAGGTATTATTTTCTGAAGTTCTGAAAATGTGATGCATTTTACCCCAAGCCCGGTATGGTTATAAAAGTTTGTTGGGGGTTGGTGTGTGTGCAGGAGGCAGACAGAGGAAGAAGGATTTGATCCTTTTCTGAGGATAAGTTTTCCAGAAAAATCTAGGAGCAGCAGTTGTAATCAAAGAACTCATTTTGGTATACATTGGGGATTTAAAGCCATATGAGAAAGATGTTTATTTTCCTTCTGAATAAAATTCCGAACAGGTTCTAACAGCAATAAAGATCACGTGAGGTATTTCCTGGCAAAATTAATAGCTAGCTGGGGTGGTTGTGGCCTCAGGTTGACTTTGTGCTGTCTCACCTCTCATCTGGTTATTAATCCCCCTGATATGCTCTAGGTCTCCCTTATTATTACCTAATTAGCATCAATTTTTATTGTGCTACTGTGAGCAGGCTTTGAATCCTATTACCAAAAATAAAAACCTAACCTGATACTATAATTGCAAGCCACCCGAGAAGCTTTCTGAATCTTGCTGCGGAACGTTTCAGCCCTTCCTGAGGTGGGTTGACTGAAGAAGGGGAGGGCAAGTGAGAACGCTGCTAGCATTCAGTCAGGTCTGAGACAGTGCATTTTACCAATGAATTACTGCCTGGCCAGTAAGGGGTAGAAACACAATGAAGCTCCCTCCACAGTTATTATGCATCTCAGCAGAGTTCTGTGGTTACTTGGGCTGAATTTCTGCTGTTTTACCTGCCAACTGCATGGTTACATTATTCAAAGTTTAAAGATGAAGCTAAGGGGAAAAACTTGTAGACTTGTAACTTAAATTTCCT